TCCCGGCCGCATACGCTCACCCAACTCGTACCAAGATGCAACTCGCAGTCGTTTGCACGGTATTCGATACTTCCGAGCGGCGCTTCCGTTCTGACTTGGGCAATCCCTCGTAATCGGTTCGCCGAAGATATACCTGACCGTCAGTGCGACGTGCGACGACCATCATACAGGCCTCGTGTCCGCCTGCTCACCCCTCACCTCGGTACTGCGTCTCCATACCACCCCTCCACCCCTCCAAATCCTCCTCTTCGTCCTTCGGCAGCGCCAACACCGCCTTCGTTAGCTCACTTTGCGTCTCCCGCATCCACTCCGCCAGCTCGCTCCCGCCGTCGGGGATGCCCTCGCTCGGGCGGTCCTGCCAGTGTGCGATCTTGCCGGCGGCGTCGACGGCGATCGTCATGACGGTGCCGACCGAGATCGTCTTCGGGACGAGTTTCGGCGTGAACTCCTGGAGGACATGGAGGGAAGTCGTGCGCGCGTCGGAGGCGGTGATCCGCGCGTACTCCGTGGTGCAGGCGCGGACGAGCTCGGAGAGGCCGTAGAACTGCGCTGCTATCGACATCCGCTCTTCGCCACGCTGGCGGCGGGCGGGCTGTGTGAGAGGGTGGCGGCGTGAAGAGAGGTGAATGTACGTACGGGTTTTCGTAGACGGCATTCTCAGCGAAGAAGTTCATGTTCTGAGAGGTCGAGTGTCAACGTACTAGAGGTGATCGAGGTTGTGTTCTTAGATCCCGACGATCAACTCTGGGGAGGGCATGTTCGAAGTATTGCGCTCGTGAGTTCCTACTTACAAAGGTGAACGTATGCAGCACTCCTTCGATACTAGTGTTCTATATGACATCTCACTGCAAACATCAATGCTATCGCTCTAGCTTCTGGCAGCCCAATGCTTATATACTTTGCTGGCCGGCCCGGTATGTCCACCACAACGCCGGGTTTTGGACTCTGCTACGCAGTCTAGATCAGCGCATTATCGCTGCATCGGCTGGACGGAAAAACTCAACGGCACGCTGGCACTGCCAGGTATGAAGATTGCATGCATAACCACTCGAACTTGGCATACCGCACGGCGCTGTATGCCGCCGGTGCCGTCAACATTGGTCTAACGTAAGATCATTCCACTCGCTACTCTGATTTTCAGGTGACTGACTCGTTCGATAGGAGCAGAGTGCACTTGGAGCTCCTCTGGAGCAGGTTGCGTCTCACTTGTCAGTCTCGACCGCGAAGCATCTACCTCCTCCTCCAGTCCTCCTCTCTGCCTAACTTACATAGTTCAACGCAACGTCCAGACTCCAAAGTCCAGACTGCCATATAACCTGAAACTGAACGTTTGAACGCCCGCTGGTGCTAGACAAGCAGGACCGTACTACGAAAGAAGGTCCAGAACTGCAGCTTTGGGGCCGCCGAGGTCTGCAGTTCGTTCGCGGTGAGGCTGACAATTCGGCATAGACGGCGGATCCTAGATCTCCGAGTCGTTGAGCTCGAGGCTGACGGGACGTGAACACGGAGTCGAGCTGGCATCGTGTCAGCCTCTCCCGGGTCGTCAAACATATAACAAACCAGCGGGACTCTGTCTCCCACGTAACTTACCCTCATCGACTCGCCCACTACCAACCGCAGCGACGGCTAGTATTCAGCAAGTCAACATGACACTTCTACTCGAAGCGATAACCATGATCTGGCGCGACATTTCACGCCACCCTAAATCTTACTTCTGCGAGTTTCTTCTCATCTGCGTTCTCACTCGTATCTACGCAGTCAGCGTTGCGGTCGACCTCGGATTCCTGGATCTGCGTCGCCTCTTCATCGATCCACACTACCCCTTCCCAATCTGCAGAGTCTTCGCACCCGAAATCCACGGATATCGCGGCTTCCTATGGATGGTCAACCCTTGGCAAGTTCCTTGGCTCCTTGTGTTCTATGCTTGGAAGTACCAACGTCGAGACGATGACGTCGCTCTCCGGTTCGGTAGCCTGGCGAGGCGTGCTATTGGGCTAGTCTGCAAGTACTCCATCGCCGGGAGCATCATGGCCGTTGTCGCGCACACTTTACTCGTCCTCGGTGTAGTTGGGGATGTCCAGAGTAGAGCCAAGGTGCTGTTAGGACTAGTCTTCGGGACCTGGGTCCTTACTGTGGCCGTCATCTGGCCCCTTGTGACGAAGATGATGCTTTCCCGGGACGCTGAGGGACCTGGGAAGGTACGTCAGGCTCTCCTGTAGCGTTCCCCCTTTCACTAATCTGCGGTCCGAACAGTGGATGGTACTCGATGACGTTCATGCGGGCCTTGCGGCATTGCCAATGATATTGCTACACGAGACTCCTCCAGCCGATGACTGCCCAATCTGTTACGAGTCGCTGGTGGAGATTTTCGATGAAGCGCAAGGTGTTGTCAAGCTCCCTCAATGTGGGCACGTATTCTGCAAGACGTGGTAAGCACTTAGACCCTCTTGTCTACTACGGTACTGTCAGTGTACTAACCATTCTGCTGGTAGCATTAAGGAATGGATCTGCAACTGGGTGAGTGTTGCGCTCTTGTGTTGGCCCAATAGCCACTGAAAGTTTTGGCACCAGCATGGATCTTGCCCTTTGTGCCGCTATGAGTTCCTTGACGACCTCATCGACATGTGCGAAGACGACGAGGCTGGGGAGTATCCGAGTCAACGGTCTGACACCGTGACGGATTATTTGATGGCGCCGGCCAAGTTCATCTCGGCGTCGTTTGAGGTGCTCCACAACCAACTCGTTGCATTCTTCGGTCTAGTCATGGCATTTTCCTACGGAGTCGTCGCCTTCTGCCTTGTGACGTTCCCTAACAGACTCATGGCACTCTTCCACCGACTCATAACCCTCTCCTACTGCCGACTCGAAGCCCTCTCTAACCGGGTCGTAGCCCTGTCCTGCCGACTCGCAACCCTGTCCTACCGACTTGTGGCGCTCTTTCATCGAATCACGACGCTCTTGGACAGGCTTGTTCCGCCATGGGATGAACCTGACTCAGTTCCTCAAGAGCGGCTGGGGCTCGCGGACGAGCAACATCTCGGCGGTGTCTTCTTCGACGGACGGCAGCCGTCTCACACCCCCTTAGATTCCTACGAGGACCGTCATAGGCGTATCGAGGACCTCTTTACGGCCATGGAACAGCGCAACGCCACTCGTATGAACAGAATGGCTCAGCAAGACAGACTCTTACAAAGCCTCGAGCTGCGTATGTTGTCTCTCGATCGCCGGTCCGATGTAATAACGGGCAGGGGGACGATGCGCAATGGTGCGCGTCACTCCGGTTTCTGAGGCGCCGTGCCGACGTGTCCTTTGACTCCGTACAACTGGGTCAGATGGATACGTCACTAAGGAGAGTGTGATTGCGCTAAAGGCAAGACCTGGACGAAGGGGAGATGATGCTGATCAAGATTATCGTTATTTTTGGTGAGGCCCGTCTCTACCCTCGGATTGTAGTACACTGGCTGATAGCTATCCGCAGGATATTGCAATACTTCGGGGTCTGTCCAGCCAAGTTGCGCACCCGGTTTGGGCAAGTCCGGGTATGCCATAGGCATTTTTCCACTCTCGTTGCGACAATGGGTGTTCTTTCCCCGAGTCGCTGACGCCCTCAGTCAGGTGAGCATTGCGTTTCTGGTCTCATGCGCGTGGTGCTCATGCCCTCGTTGATGACAGGAGTGCAATGGCTTTGATGACTTCATCTCAATGCCTGCCAAATGCTCACTGTCGTCACATCACGACTCAGTATCGTGCACGACACTTCAATGGTGAGTCCCTTCAGCCGCGCGTGTTCCTCGTCTGATCAACGGGTATGCTCCCAGCGCGGATACATCGATAAAGTCAAGTCTTGAAAGCGCAATGCGGTTGCAACCCGGACCTTCAAGAGGTTGCGCGGAGCAGGTGCGCTATTTAGGCTTGGATGTGCGGAGCCGTTGAAGATGCACGAATGGATGCAATATATGGAGCATTATATGGACGTCATGTGCCGACCATCGCTACTCTGCACTGCGACATGGCACTTGTTACCATCCAAGGGCAGTCGCTTGGTATTCGTGCATCAGTGCGAGTGGATACTGGTTCAGTTTCCTACCTCTCGAAGAATATGTATATATATTCGTTGCCGGATGATATTATTCATGTACAGAACTTGGAGGCAGACTGTACTCCCGTGAATGCGCCCAAGAAGTTGGCGGCGACCACCTCAAATCTGCCCTTCAAGTTCTAATGCAATTGCAATTGCAGACGGTGCGTAACCCGGGCCTCGCTCGCAACTACAACAGACTCCATGGCCGCCGCCTACTGCTCATCCGACTAGTACCGGCGTCGACTTCGATCGGTTTCCCGGCCTCCACAGTGTTTGATCCGCGTCATAAGTCCCCGCTCAGTTGGAGAGAGAAATGGGGAACCAGACAACCAAGGGTAGGCGAGTCTGCTAAGGGACACTCGTCGGTGAACACTCGCATAGTACTACAGGTGGTAACTTGAATTGGATGCAGGTAAAGCGGCACTGAGTATTCAACGTTCAACGTTAGTACTTATGAACAATGTATAGCCCACCTGTCGCGTATATTGGATCTTGCACCCACGTAGTGTACTATACTCACCAGGGCATTGTTTCATGAATTCAGCACAGTTCACAGTGACTGGGACGACGGACGTTCACAGGCCTAGTCACGGAACATCTTACCGGGAATTGCTAGGTTCGACACAAACCCCGCACGTCCACGCTAGCGCCGCGTGGAGGGTCTTGAGCGAGACTACGGGAATTGCCGGCATACCGTCGGCCAGGCGCACTTGCCAATTCGAGACGATCGTTCCTCCTCCCGTACACATACCAGCTGTTATGGTAGCCAGTCGAAGTCAAGCGAGCACGAAGGCATACAAATATTAGCCATCGGGTACTTGGCACCACCTCAGATTGCGAGCGTTTCCTTACTGTTCTACTGACAGCTTTCCTCGCGTCCTCGTCGAACTTGTCAACAGGCCGTCCCCAATTGCCACGTACGTTACATAAAGGAGCATCGCCAACCGCAACATGCCTGCCTCGGATCTTCCAATCGAGATACAAGAACAGGTCCTGGACCACCTGCACGACGACCCTTACGCGCTGAAGGCGTGTAGCCTGGCCTGTTCCGCTTGGCTCCCGACAGCGCGTCTGCACCTCTTCAGGACAGTCAAATTGAGGACAGTGCGAGACTGTCTGCGATTCCTCACCGTTCTCGAGTCGACCTCAGACGCACTCGGCGGGATAGGCGTAGGTTCCCTCGTACGGGAACTGCATTTGCCGACGATGGTTCTTCGGCAAGCGGGTAGACGGAAGGGGCAGCGCTACAACTTCCTATGCCAGATTCTGCGCTGTGTCCCCAACATCGACACCCTGGTTGCGCGTCGCTTTCAGTTGCGGAGCTTCCTGGATCTGGCCAGTCCGAAGGGCACCAGCCCCGGCGTCGATCTTCGCGGCGTCTTGACGTCCGTCTTTGCTTTCCCTCGGCTCAAGACGTTGGTCCTGCAGCGAACGTCGGTCCGTACTGTCAGGGAGGTATTGCAGGTCATCTCTGCATTTCCGTCCTTGTCTACTTTGTGGATCTCTGATATCCACATCTCGAGCCCTGACGACGTTCACCCGAATACCACCGAAAGTACCGATATTCGCATATGTATCCAGGACCTGCGCTTGGGACCCTGGGATGGCGATCCCATTTCATTGCAAGCCGTAACGGAGGCGTTCTTAGAAGCACCCTACGAACTGCAGCTCCGAAAGCTGCAGTGGATGTCTGGCCTTCGGCATGCGGACTTTGGTGGGCATGCGTTCAACGAAATGTTTCACAGATCTGCAGGAACTCTGGAGACGCTAGAGCTCGAAGTTGATGAGGCTGCCCAATGTGAGAAGTCAGACGGGTTGCACATCTCGTTGAGCTGAACATATCGTGCAGGCATAGGATGGTTGATGGGCCAGGGCCTGTCTCATCACCGGTCGCTCAAGATCCTCACCCTGTCATTTGATCTCTTTGATGGTACCGCAAGGGACCGGTCGATGATCCCCCTATTCATATCGAGCCTTGATTCGAGCAGTCTGCGGGAGTTGAAGTTACACTTCGATGCGCACGATGAACGCGACTCTCAGAATGCTTTTGACTGGCAGGAGTTGCCGAAGGCCTTGATCTCGTTGCATCGGAGGTGCCCCGCCGTCACGTTGACATTGAGTTGTTGCGTGCCCACTCGTATGTGGATCAAGTTGCCAGACCTGGTCGCCGTCTATTTAAAAACATTACAGGGCGTCCTGCATGCAGGGAGGCGCATCGCTATCGTCCGCACAGAGCTCGACCAGTCTTGCCCGTGCTCCGTTAGGGACTGGTTTGAAGTCGCTATGGATAATCGATGGCGGCCAGCTCGCCCAGCACTCATCTGGTTGTGAGCCTGGTGCCCGACAATACTCATGCTCTGCCACTCGACAATTTCCCGTTTGTGCTTCCCGTCCTCGGTACCTCTCCCAATCCGAATCTTTTCTTCAATCTTTCGGTAGGCTCAGGGCCTCCCTCGTCAGCTCGCACTGCTTCTCCTTCTGCGTCTTCTCCGCTAGCATTGTCACGCCGACGGGAATCCCTTCCCCCGGACGGTCCTGCTTGTGCAAGCGCTCTCTGGCCGGCGTCGTCGACGGGGTCCGTCATGGCGGTGTCCACTATAGCCATTCGTCTTCACTGTTCTCCGGGGTCGAGCCTGCCACAGGAATACCCTGACTCGAGGTATCATTCATGTTTGATCGCAGGCCGCACACACGCGCCCACCTCATACGAGGATGTGATCCACGGTTGTTATTTGCACGGGGGTCGATACGTTCGAACAGCGCTCCCGTTCTAGCACCGACTTGGCCCACTATGCGGCCCCTCTTTCGATACATCGACGATACGGGCCGCTTTGCGGCAATATATAACAACCTGGAGAGGGCGGAGAGGGCGGCAACGAGACCAAGCAGGACAGTGGGGCGGACGGAAGACCGCGAACGACGCGCGGATGATATCGTAGTATTTATTGGGACTATGGGACTCTGCCAGACAGTTCGGTGGGAGGCTATGCTACGCGACGACGTACATGCGGCAGTTCCCCTATCCAGTCCTAGTCCTTACTACCCTACTCTATTACTCTTGTTTGTTTTTATAGTCACTGAGGGTGAAACCCTATGTAGACGTTACAATATGCGCTAGTTCTCGTCGTACCTCCTTTTGACCGTTGTCGCGTAGCATCACACTCCATTCCTCTCCATGACACTGGTACGTCCTCGGTCCAGCTCTGGCGATAAGCGTATGCCCAGTCTGAACCTGATAGCACGACCTCGTACACACAGCTCTACTGCTAGTCTTGTAAAAGTAGGGCTCGACCGTCGCGGGCAATGGCAAAAGAAAAATGACGACGGAAGACTTCTTCATCAGGGATTATATGCATGTATTGTTTACATACTATGTAGGGCTCTGCCCTTGGCGACACTAAGGGAATAAACAAACAACGCCAACTTGGCAATGCTTCATAGTCGGTCCACTCACAGTACTCGTGTCCGCCTACAAATTACTCGCCCCTCACCTCGGTACCTCGTCTCCATACCACCTCCTCCACCTCTCCAAATCCTCCACCTCGTCCTTCGGAAGGGTCAACACCGCCTTCGTCAGCTCGCTCTGCTTCTCCCGCATCCACTCCGCGAGCCCGCTCCCGCCGGCGGGGATGCCCTCGCTTGGGCGGTCCTGCCAGTGCGCGATCTTGCCGGCGGCGTCGACGGTGATCGTCATGACGGTGTCGAACGCGATCGTCTTCGGGACGAGCTTCGGCGTGAACGCCTGGCGGACGTGGAACGAGGTCGTGCGCGCGTCGGAGGCGGTGATCCGCGCGGACTCCGTGGTGGAGGCGCGCACGAGCTCGGGGAGGCCGTAGAACTGCGCTGCTATCGACATCCGGCCGACGCTCTTGGCGACGCTGGCGGCGGGCGACGTGAGAGGGGCGGAGGGAGGAGGGGGAGGACGTACGGGTCTTCGTAGACGGCGTCCTCGGCGAAGAAGGACATCTTGTGGAGGCTGGGCTTGCCCTGGAAGAGGTCGAGCACGACGCCGACGAGGGTGCGCCGGTGCTCGTCGATGGCGACGCCTGGCGCGACGTCGACGGACGCGTTGATGATGATGTGGTTAGGCGG